CCCCGGACCACGTGCATGGTCGGCGAGAGTCCTAACCACTGTGCCACCACTGTGTCACACAACATCGAAGACTTACAAGCAAAAACCGACAAACTGGTCGAAGAAGCAGCAAAGACAGGACTGACTCCAGGTGAACATAGACAAGACGGAGATCACTAAAATAACCAACCAACAACAACAACAGCAGCAGCAACATCCAGCGCCAATCACCATCAACGGAAGGGATTTCATAGAGGTTACTTCATTCACTTATCTAGGGAGCATTGTCTTAACTACAGGAGGAACAGACGAGGATGTCAAATCGAGAATCGGGAAGGCGAGAAATACATTCATCAAACTGAAACCAATCTGGAAATCTTCGTCACTCAGCATCAACATCAACAACAAAATTCGAATTTTCAATACAAATGTCAAGTCAGTCAGTTCTTGAATACGGATCAGAAACTTGGCCAGCGGGTGAAAAAGAATATTTATTTCCAACAGGTTGCAGACCTTTATCGACAGCTGTCTTCGTTCTATACTGAAGATCAGATGGCCGTAAAGAATCACAAACAAGAAACTATGGGAACAAACAAAACAGGAACCAATCGCTCAACAAGTATGCAGGAGAAAGTGGAGATGGATTGGACACTCGCTGAGGAGGCCGCTGGGTGACATCGCGCATCAGGCCATCACTCGAGTGGAACCCGAAAGGGAAGTGGCGAGTGGGACGTCCAAGTGTGGGTAACATGGAGGAGATCGTGTGAAGAGGAGTTGAAACAGTATGGACTAACATGGATGCAGGTGAAAAGTACAGCAGAAGACAGAAGCAAGTGGAGGCGTGCAGTTGAAGCCCTATGTTCCACTAGGAACTCAAGGGAACAATAATAATAATGAGCAGTAGATTATTCTGTAAACGTTATCCAGTTATCACCGTGTGTTATATCGGATTTTATTATTATTCCATTGGGTCCAGAGTGGGACATGGGGCTTCAACGGAACATCTGCACTACATCCTGTTCTCTAAAGTCATCTTTATCTGTTTTCTCCTCCTCACACGACATCCTTCATGTCAACCACTGATCGGCGCCCAGCTAATCGTTCAGCATTGGGATTCCACTCGAACGACGGTGTAGCGATGTCACTTGACGATTCCCTCAGAGTGTGTCTAATCCATTTCCGTTTTCATCAGAAGATTTGTTGGGTGACAGGTTCTTCGTCGGTCTGTTCATTGTGATATGAAGTAAACTTATCTAGTATAGAATTACATTCCACCACTGAGCCCAAGTTCTGCACTTACGTTAATCTTTGCTACTTCAAATAAGCAGCATTGAGCTTGTCTGGCAGAAACTTTAATCTGCCCTCAATGTTTATAATACCGTGTTTAATTAATAATAACCCTTAATATGATGTCTGAAAATAGTACTAAAATAATGAAGAAAATTTCTACACATACTTATTTCAATGTCAAGACATGTCAATCTGGAATTTTTTATAATATTTATTCACAAACACAGCTGCGGATGAAATATTTAAGTAGCTGGCAGGATAATGCTATTAACAGCTCTGAAAAATCTTTTCCCTTCGACATGATTATTATTATTGTTTCCTTTAATTCCTAGAGGAACACAGGGCTTCAGCCGCACGTCTCTTGGCAGTCATTATCCTGGGCGAGATCGCCTCCCATTGTATCAGGGCCTTCGTTGCTGTTGGTGACATCGTGATAGCCACACCCTCAGTGTGCGAGTGGTTATCTTCTGGGTGCCTGGATTAGATCACTGACTCACCCATTGACAATTTGGTGAGTCCACTACCATTCTGTCTGCTTTCACATATTCCCAGTATTAAAATATCATGTCTTTTCATCTCGTTTACAATCTGAGCAGCTTTGCCAGTCTCATTTATGGTGCGGACGTTCTGTGTCCCCTCACAGACTTTTTCTTTTGTCGCAAGGAGGCTCATCGTGCTGAAGTTTCTGTAGCAACTTTGTTTACAGGGTGGTGTTGCTAGCCTCACGCCTGAGAAGGGGGTTGTTACATTAATGCATAGGTTACAGAGGAGCGACTTTTTGGGTTGCTCCCTTTAGAATCAGGAAAACAAGGAATAAAGCAATCAGAACAACAACAGCAAAAGGAAAAAAATTCACAACCTTGAACTATAAGGTAATAGGTGTTCCTTGAGGATGTGAGAAAATAAGGATGATGATCAGGAGGGCTTCGTGTGCTTTTGGAGGTATGTGGGTGGTTGTTACTTCCCAGCTGCTCACACCGTGGAAGTTGATTTATTCTTGGGGTTCCTAAAACAGAAACAAATTTAGAGTTGCGTGACCGCAGAGCCCAGGGGACAACTGTTTGAGCACCGTCAACCATGGCCTGTTTGAGCTGGCTTTTTGATTTGGTTCCGTATTAGTAACTTACCGCCGGCTACAGACCACTGTAGGGTAAGTCGGGATGCACAGCTTTCGAGGTCGACCTTCTATAACCCCCTCTCTCAAGAGCGGAGAGGCAGCATAATTGGTTGGATTGCTAGTCATCTGGGGGAAACACCTTACTGCTGTAACACCCCTTTTCCCCAGAAGTAAAAGTTTGCGCACATACCCCCAGCATACTGTAAAAAACATCTCGTACTATGCCAGTAACTGCTTTTAGTCTAATCGCTTTCCTAACCACCTTCGTGGCATAGTAGGACCCGCAGGAACATTAGTTACAGCCAGTGTAGCTTTTTGGATCATAGCAGTGTGCAAGCCCGACCACCACGTCAAGGTAGCAGCTGTCAGTCGGGGTGGAAAATAAGACGTTAACTCTTTCTTGTTCGTGAGCTCATCATTCTGACAGATTCAATTATATGATGGCATCACTTACGACAGAACGTTATTCGCCTCAACAATGGCTTTTAAACATAAAGTTAAATAAATTTAATTATATCTCATTCTGTTTTTGACTAAGAAAAAAAATACGTATTCAGTAATAAGTCATTCCTGGAAATATTCCGATTAGTAGTATGCATAATAAGCAAACTGAACGGTCACTTACCATCAGAAACAATAGTAAACCGATGAAAAGATGAATCATAATAAAGTTGATTTCATTGGTGGCTTTAACAGCATGTTCACCAATTACATTCCTGATTGTGGTGGTCTGAATAGTATGGAAGACCGAGGAGAGTGAGCAAATGAACATGAATACGCTGGACTGACAGAAAGACTCTAGAAGGTCTAGACTTTTCAAGTGATTTATCTCTAATGTCATAAAAACTTGAAGACCCATAGGTGAAAACTAACAGATTGACAGAAGGAGCAGCATAGAAACAGGACCTCAAGTGAACATAAAGAAGATGGAGTTGATGAGGATAACCAACCAACAACAACACCAGTAAGCACCAATCACTACCAGCAGAAAAAAAATTGAACAGGGGCAATTCTATCACTTATCTAGGCTGCATTATTTCAACAACAGTTGGCACAGATTAGTACATCAAAGCCAGTCAGGATTCAAAAAGCAAGACACACATTCACTCCTCTGAAATCAGCATGGAAATTTGATGCAGCATAAAGAATCAGACTCGAGTTTCCAATACTAATTTCAGTTCAGTTTTTATATAGGATTTAGGAACTTGGAGCACCATCAAAAGAATTTCAAAACAGGCTGCAGACGTTCATCAGAAGCTGTCTTTTACTGCCTCAACACAGAAGATCAGATGCCCAACTAAAAGGGATTAACATCAATGGACTAAAAGTGATAAGGAACGGAACAAGTACCCATTGTCTAACAAATATACACACGCTGATGAGACCATTCACTGGTACCGCACGCCAGACCATCGCTGAAGTGTCGCTAGACTTGAGACCACAGATTCTTTCGATGAGAGGATTAGAGATTATGAGCAATCGTAGAGCTGATAGAAGACAACTGCACGAAACACGACAAATTGGGAGTATTCTGCTAAAGCTGTGTGCTTCACTCAGAACCCATGGAAATAGCAATAGTAACTGAAACCCAGGTATAAAACAGGTTGATTTAAATTCTCTAAAGCCTGAGGCGTAGGAAGGCTTAAACTTGTTTATTTTCAAAAATTATTAGTTATTACTCTGAACCTGCCTTATTGATCCAATTTTAAAACCAAGGTTAATTTTATTTCATGCCATTTTCGCTTCCTTCACTTCTTCAAAGCAAAGCAAGCTTTCATTTCTCTCAAGTCTGTGTGTAGATCAACAGCACTCAGCGTCAAATATAAGATCCTGATTTTCAACTCCAATGTGAAGTCAGTGCTACTTTCCATACGTACGGATCATAGACTTGGCGCCGCGCCACGTCACAAAGGCCACTGTGAACAAACAACGGACTTTCATCAACAGCTGTCTTCATTCAATACTCAAGACCAGATGGCTGGTCAAAAAAGATCAGCAACAGAGTGGGATCTCTGGCACTGAGCGAGCCAACCCAGCAGGAACCATTTGTGCAAGAAATATGCAGGGAGAAATGTAGGTGAATTGGATTGGCCATACTCTGAGAAAACAAACCATCAAGTGAGTGACATCACACGCCATCGACATCACGCTCGAGTGGAACCCGAATGGGAAGCTGCGAGTTAGTTGGTCGTCAGTGCGAGGGCGACTTGGAGGAGGTGATGCGAATAGGAGATGAAAGCATGTGGGCAGACGTGTAGCCATGTGAAACCGTTGGCGGAGAACTGAACGCAATGGAGACGTGCGTCTGAATCCCTATGCTCCTCTAGGAACTAAAGGAAACAATAATAATAATAATGCTCTTCAGATACATTATATCTTTCTACTATTTTATCAAAATCCACAAAAAGAAACTAGTTGCTTTCTTAGAAAGAAAAAAGATTTTACGTGCTCAGCAGTGAGTTTTATTTTTTATCGACAAATACTCAGTATGTTGTCTATATCACACTGATAAAACAGTAATAATACAGACGATATTATTATTATGAAATTAAGGTCTATGCAGATTGTAAATGTGCACAGTTATAGAACAGGCGAAAATTACTATTATTATTATTCCACTTTTTCTATCTTCAGGCTGTCAGGAGAAATACATATGCTGACAAATGATTGTATTGAATTGTTATATTTTCACAAGGATAGGTTCTTCAGAAGACCATTTATTGAATGATAATGGAGAGTCCAGGGTTACATTAAATGTACCTTTTAGTACTGAATCAGCAACTGCAGGTGATAACTAAACAGATAAGGAAAAATAAAAGAGGTAACTGATGAGACATATATATGTATTTTAAAGGGAATACCGACCACTTTAGTATGACTCATTCATGATTACAGTAATAACTCATAGTTAATTTTATTATGTGAATATGAGTTATACATTATAGGCGGTAGGTAAAAAATAAGAAGCGCAGTTATCCTGAAAATTGTGATGGCGATTTCTTAAACTCACTCAAGACATATAATAATTATAATGGCCTTATTCTGTACGAGTTTTCAGCGGAGTTTATTGCATGATATTTTCTCTTCGTACAGGATCTTTAAATCCAAAAGAAAAGTTAACTGACAGTAGATCGTGTGATACAGTGCTGTCTGACCTGAAGCAACAACCAATATTATGATTACGCCTTCGAGAAATGCACAATATTTGGTTTTGCATATGCCAGTTTACGCCGTCTCTGGCGTAGACGTGATATCCGACTATCGACCAAAGGCCGTGTGTACTGCTCAACAGTCCGCTCCGTCCTCCTTTATGGCTGTGAGACCTGGCCATTGAGAGTGGAAGACATGAAAAGGCTGGCTAGCTGTCTTTGATCATAGGTGTCTGCGTTCTATCTCCCGTGTGAAGTGGTATAATAGGGTGAGCAATATTGAGGTTAGACGTCGGTCGAGTGCTAGGTAGGTGGGAGGGGAAATCAATCGACGAGGCTGTGAAATTACATCGACTGAGATGGTTAGGACATGTGTTACGTATGCCTAGTCATCGCCTTCCTCGACTACGGGCAATGTTAGCTGATATAGGGTCAGGCTGGAAAAGAGCTAGAGGCGGTCAAACGAAAACATGGCACCAGTCAATGAAATCTACAACAGTTAGTCTGAGCCACGTAGGAAGGTGTAGACTGGCTTCCTGATTGGGGTCCTCGGGACGGTAAAAACCAATGGTTGGAAACAATTGGTGACATGGCTCAAAATCGTTCTCAATGGCCGGCGCAGATGCATCCACTCCTTGTGACTTATGATTTCCAATTAAACTGTTCTATGTCGAAAAGAGAGAGACAATATTTGGTTGATAGGCAATTATAAAAAGTTTAGGAGTACTTTTTGTCACTTAAGGAGATTACTCAGCAACAGTTATTTCATGTTTTTTTTCAAGTATTGGTTTTTTCTGTAGGCATTTTGTTTGATTTGTTAGAATTCATGGGCCATTGGATCGGGTGCCAGTGGCTTAATGGTCTACGAGCTGGCTCGCCTTGTAACCAGAAGGTCCTGGGATTGAACGCTAGGTGGGTGCTTACTGCCGAAGAGTCCCAAAATAGGACGAAACAACTTTAACTGATGTCAGCTCATGATGAAATCCTCCATCCAAGTTATCTAATGTACTGAGATACGTTGCCACCCACAAATAAGTATAAACTTGCGAACTAGTAGGTTGTAGGCATTCCGAAAAAATACTTGCAAGTGTAAATAGTAGCAGTACAGGTCACATTTTAATTGATTAAAACAAAGTAAACAAGAGGAATTGTATACAACATACTGATGGAGTTTTTTGGTAGCCCAAGTTTTAAGCAGGCCGCTGAATGAAGTTAGACTCACTATTTTTCTTTAAAATATCTGAGAATTTTTTATTGTTATTTTGAAATGTCAAAATAAAGTGGTATTTGACTAATTGGATGAATGCGTTTACTGCGTTCATATATGAGCGATGATATAGCCTACCCCTAATTGTCGTGGCAGGATACCCGGACCATGTGAATGGTCGGCGAGAGTCCTAACCGCTGTCCACAGACTCACACTAGTCTGAAGAAGCGTCACTAAGATACGAGTAAAAACGACGCACTGCTGTTGCTAAACGCCCCATATACTAGTACAGAATCATAAAAATGCAATTTCTATGTGTTTAATATTAAAGCCAGCTGGTACAGACTAGCAAGAACTACGAAACCATCAAAATAAATACCTCACAAAGATTTGTCCAATTCATAGTTCAGTGTCAAATATCTGTAAAATATTCACAGTATGGCACAGCCACTAACCAAAGACATCGGTGAGTATCTATCGTCACATCCAACCTGCCGTACTTCACTGGGGTCACAACTTCCCACTAGAACCCAGGTAACTACGAACCTGAATAGGACCAGTCGCTAGTGAGCATCAGATTAGTATTCAAGTGTTGGCTTATAGAGATCTGACTGATTACAGGATTTCATCATGAGTTGATATCGGTTGCAGAACCATTGGAAAATTTTGGAAGTATTGGACGGCTGTTTCGTGAATTAGCAGAAGTTGGAATTCATGGACTGGCCATTGGATCGGGATCCAGTGACTTAATGGTCAACGAGTTCGTCTTGTAATCTGGAGATCCTCGGTTCTAAACCCGGTGATTGTGTACTGCTCAAGAGTTCTAAATCAGGATGAAACAGCTGTCCAGTACTCCCAGGTTTTCCAATGGTTATTTAACCAACATCAGCAGATGACGAAGTCCTTTAACTAGTCAAATCCCTAGAAACTAACACTTGAATCTGGAAAATACATATTTTACTTATATCATTACGTGAACAATAGTAACAAACCATGACGCTACAATTGGCTTCGTTGTTAAGATCAGCTAGATTTTGGTCTGTGCGTAAATGAACACTCCTGTCATCCTCAAATCTTGATAAAATCAGGCACGAAATGTCTAGTGAAACATCTTGTTAGACAACAGCAATCATTTCATCGGTTTGAATTTTTCATTTGTGCTGCTAAAGTGTAGACTGCTGTTTTCTATTGTCAAAGGCATTTCATCCCAACAAGTAGAAATAATATGCTTGTAAAATCTCTAATTCTGAGACAGTATGGTTACAGTCAGATATGCTGAGAATGTGGCTACTTTTATACCACCATTTTCCCTCCTCTGAGACGATCACCTCTGAAATTTGGTTTAACTGTAGCTTTCACCCATCTGAAAAATCTAACAATGTGGTGAGAGCTGGCTGCTAGCCAAAGTTGGTAGACAGTAATTCACGTCAGTGTTTATGTCCCCAATATTGGTGGTGAGAAAATGAGAACAAAGGCTTTGCGTAGGCGGATACAATTAGCATATGGATGATCTGACACAGCCACAAAGAGATGCAAGGTTAACTTTCTGTTAGAAACAATCAATCAAAAGACTGCATTTTCTACTAACAATAATCTACAATAATGTACATTAAAATCAATAGATATGTGTTGATTTCCCTTAATAAACGATCTACTGCCTGGCCCTTGTCTTCTGTTGTTACAACAATAATCTATTCCATCATGAACTGACATCAGTTAAAGAACCGTTGGAGGACTTGGGAGTACTGGACAGTTGTTTCGTCCTAGTTTGGGACTCTTGAGCAGTACACACCATCACAGGGATTCATACCGATGAAATCAAATCCCTGAAAACCGACACTTGAATAATCTGTGTCACTTAAACCTTGAATTGTGCAATGGCTTAAAGTGACTATTCTATGTTAGATTTTACGCTTTTTCAGTCACTATAGAGTTCACCTTTCACTGAAAATGTCTTCTAGGTATTCAAATAAAAAACAATTAAATAAATTATGAAACTCAAACTGTCAAAAAAAAAAAATACTATTTTTAAAAAGAAACTGGGCAAAACTGTTCTAAGAAACCGTAAAACAGGGAACTGAAACACAAAACAAATGCTGAGAACACTTTCCTACAAACACATTATATAAAATAACATGATTAGTTCTGTGTTATGCACGTCGAAGTGCGAAAGGTGCTGTTCGACATCTTCCCGGCAGAGTGGCGTTAAATGTATCCAGACGTAGGCAACTTTGAACACATGGTGCAATCTGTGTTAAAATTAATCATTATATGTACTGTGATTATGAGCATTCGAAGTACAACTAAAATTAAACCAACCCTATATATATAAGGGTTATGTAAACCTGAAGCAATATGACAAAGAGCTGAATACGCTAGATTACTTTACAGTATACTTATGCATTTCAAGGTAATTTTATATATCAACACATTCACGTTCATTATTTCCACTACTTTCCAAGCTGGCAATCTTTTAAGTAGAAATGTAATAAATTTAAACAAACAAAACGTTTTATCTCTGACAATTAAAAAATTTTTTTACTCCTGTACATTCCCAGTGGAACATAGGGCTTCAAGCTAGAGGCTTTAAGTTACAGTAGCAGTGGTGTCTATTTTTCACGGGATTAAGTTTCTAGCCTCATGCCCAGCCCAACCTTCCCTCTTCACCAGTCTTATTACTGGTTTAGCGAGGTAAAGGAGTGCATCTGTGGCCGGAGATCGAACCCCGAACCACGTGGGGCGTGGTTGGCGAGCATCCTACTACTGTGACACTGACACACACCTCTGATAATAAGTATGACTTATTACTAATGTCCTCGTAACATTCTATGTGAGATGTCAGCAAAATATTTTGAGCATCGAAATGCGATAGGTACAAAATAGGATGGAGCCTACCTTTTCCCACTGGTCTACTTCATGGCTTCTACATAAGCAGTTCACACGTTAGCAAAATAGGTCACACATATAACTGAAAATCTTATTAACAGACCAGTAATGGTTAATCAGAATGTCTCAGCGATTTGCTAAACACCTTTCTGATGTTTGCAGTCAATATTATTAAAACAATTTCAATGGGAGCATGAACGCTCAGTGGGTTGCAGATGTACGTAATTGGAGTGTTTAATAGGAGCATAATCATACACTGTACATCCCACAATACTAATCACAATCTATAACCTGTAAATTTGTGGTGAGAGCTGTCTGCGAGCCAAAATTGTAGATAACAGTTTACGTCAATGTTGACGTCCCGAATCAGGGTCATGAGAAAAAACAACAACAAAGCTTAACCTTGAGAAAATCACCAGCCATTCACAGAGGAGTTAAAGTGTGGGAATATGATTCACAGATATAGGACTTGATTTTCTGAGAAACGGCCACAACGAGTAGTATAGAATAACCTTTAGCAAGAAAACAACCAATCAGAAGACGTTGCTTCTC